AAGCGAAGCTATTGCTTCCACCTGCTCGGTTTTTCAGTGGTCATGTGGTTGTCCAGCTCACAACCCCATAAAATTATAGCCCATCCGGGATAGCACGTCATCGGAAAGAGACATATCGTTTGGGATCGTGTTACTACCTCTTGGTAATTTATGTCTTTCCTCTTCTCTTTCAGCTCAGTTCCCTCGCTTCTTGCTTTTCCATTCCATGGCTGTCCAAAACCGATTATTGCCTTTCCCTGGCTCCTTTTTATGGAGAGCCACAAATCACTGTTTATAATGCCATTTCTCCCATTCATCGTGAACGGGTCACTTTATGTAATGCAAAATGTGCAACAAATTATCATCCCCTTGAGAAGCGCCCCGTGGATGCTGCAACATCTGTTACGTCACGCATTTGAGAACAGCAGGAATGAATCTTGAAAGCACTCCTTTCTGCACTTCATCCTCCGGTGAAATGACACTTGCCAACAGCAGTCACTCATTGCCAGTGGCTATTGGAAGCTGTCTTTCGCAAAGAATATGTGAAAAGCAAGTTGAGAGTGGTTTGTGTTATTCCTGAATGCCTTCCTAACCAGATTTGAAGCTGCCGAGGTATACCAATGACACGAAATTTGTTCTGCGAAAACTGGAACCTTCTGTACAAACGCTGCGAACACAGTTTACTCCCACCAAACCCAAAGGTACCGAATTTAAACTCCTGATTCCTACTTCTCTGCTCTTCTGTAACTTTTAAAATAATGAACCAGCTGCGACTCAGAACAAGAAAGCAACTTATTTTTCTGGAACAATAAACAAAACTTGGAAACTACAGAGAGTTGTGAAATCGACTCTCCGAAGGATGAAACAGATCATCGAAAGGTCCGTTTTGTTGGAAACAAAATTCTTAAAAAACACCGACCACCCTACAGCTTATCACAGCTAAGAAACTGCACCCTCTGCTCAAGCTCTCTTCCCCACTGTCATGCTCACTCACTTCGTAATGTAGCTCAATACCTCAGAACCAAAGACCCCACATCCCGACATCTTCTCTTCCAGAGCAGCCAATCTGCCATTCCCAGCATCCTGAGCAGCGAACCACGATGTCATCCCAAAGAATATAAGCACTACAAGTGATATGACGTGCTCGGTTATCATGGCTTACTTCAGTGGAAGTCTTCCACCAAACGACTGACAGTACTGCGGCCACCCGCACTAGTGATGCACATTTCCAGATAAAGGATGGAAAAGTCATCCGCACGCAGACAGCGTATTTCTGGATGAACTGCTTCTCCCCAGCTTACATCACTCCTCCGTTTTGCATACGTTCTAACAAGTATTTTCATAGTTACGGTGTCGGCAATTTGAAAGGAAACAATCAAGGCGTTCCGAATCACTTTTTAAAACCTGTTCAATGCAGAGTAGCAGGCCATGCCTGGCTGACTGCAGTTGATCTGCAATGACCCGGAGTGGCTCGCCGGAATTCTCATTTCTCGACGAGTTAAATAAGTTACACGTCTGTTTCAGAGCTGCTAATTTTAAAAGCGACCAAAAGCACAATTCATTAACGACAATCACAAAACCACAGTTCAGTGCGTTTGAAAAAATCAAACGTGATGAGGACACAATACTGAAAGTTGCACGAGGAAAATCGTAGACAATCAAAGCTGCACTCAAATAATACTAACGCAACAATCAAGCTTTTGCACCCCGCACTTTCACGCTTCGCAACTAAGGGATAGATATAATGGTTCGCCAAACTTACATTCGCCACTAATGGCAATTTCATATTTTCATGCGTTCTTGAACATATGCAAATGCAAAGATGCGCATAATGACGACTTGACTGCGTGTATCTGTCCGGGTATTTTAATACCGCAACCAAGCAAGCCCTGACTTAGAAACTTTGCCTGCGAGTTCCCAAGTCAAGAGCTACTCCAGAAACGCGGAAGCAGTTTTCATTCACGTCTTAGCCCCGCGTACGGGGGCGTGAAGATTTTGGTGAGAAAATAGTTAACTCAA